GTGTTATTATAATGTATTGAATACAAGGATTCACATAATTAAAGATTGACTTAGCAGAAGTATAGTTTCAATTATTGATCCTTTGGGGTTATTTTTCCAAGTCTATACAGGAAATTTGTATGGATAACTCCAATTAAAGCAAGTGGCATTGAAGGAAATCCAATTCCTGTCATTGGTGCTCAGTGAGTCCTTGCTTCCATGATGTTAAGAGCTATTGTTGGGTATTCTGTTATGGCTGGTATAAAATATGATTTGGTATGAAACTGAACACAGATTTCCCATGATATACAGCAGGACCCAGATCAACAGATTTGCAGTTTGTTGATAATGGCTAGGAGTGATTTTGAACTGTGTTTTTCAAGCTCATAAAGAGCCCTTTGTCATGTTGCCACCATGCTGTGTGCCTGCGAAATTAATACCTACACTGTGTGTTTCCAAAAGGAAAATTTGTTTTTTTCCGAAATTTGTGTTTGAAAATGGAAATAACATTACAGAGCTGGAAAGCAAATGTGATAGATAAACTCTTGGCTTGAATTAATACTGTTATTGGTGAGCACTCAGGAACAAAGGAAAAAGAACACACATTAGAAGAGTTGTTTCTCTACTCATGATGTTAATGTATCGAGAATCAGAATTAATATGCATATCTCCAAAGATTCAATCCCATCAAGATATTTGCTGCTAAGCTTGATAGTCTTCTTCCTGTTGCTGTCTTTAAGAGACCATGTAGAAAAGGAAGCAACAAATTCAGCGTATTCTTATGGTTTAAGCTAAAAGAACAAAACCGGGCAACAGCAATAGCACCATGTGGCACATTCATGTCAAAACAACCCTAAAATCTATAGCTAGCCCATAATGTGTTCCATGCTTTCTTGTGCTGATTTACACCTACAGCTTCAGCTCTGGAAATCATAAATTGGATGACTTTTGCACCTGATCAGTCTCGAAATCCAAAGTCTCAACTCTTCACTTCTTTAATACAGATTTTTGTTTATATATTTCTAAACATGAATTGTATTGGACTATCTTCCATAACATACTTCACTCTGGCAAGTTTTCAAATAGCTGTTTTATCTAATCTAGGATATGAGCTTAGGGTTACCTTGAACAAAAAAGAGTAACAAAAAAGAACAAAAAAAGAAATTGTACATGGACATGTAAACTATGGTTAATAGCACATTTCACATCCTCATAGAAGGGACAGGAAGGAAAGGGAAGGGAAGGGGAAAAAAGGGAAGAAATCCCTGCAGATTTTAGTCATCTAATCATTGCTGACTATAGGGGGCTCATTTCTCCATTTCAAGGTTGTTGAGCCAGCACTGTCAGAACACATTTCTACAGTCATGTGGCCAGCATGATGTCACAGAGTGCTGTTTCCTCCCCACCAAAGTGGTATCTATTTATCTACTTGCATTTGCATGCTTTCAAACTGCTAGATGAGCAAGAGCTAGGTGAAGACAGATGATCAATCTGTTGTGCGACAGTCGGGTCTCAAACCTAGACTGTTGGTTTTTGAGCTGACAAGCCCTGCATCTCAATCACTGAATAATTGCACTGCCCACATCCTTGCATAGGAATGCACAATTTCAGCAGGAATAGAGTTTTGTGTTTCTTTTCTTTTCTTTTTTACATTAAAGAGGTTTTGGTATCTACTTACAAAGCCGTTGGCTTTGGCTAATTGAATGCTGACAGCTAAAGCAAACAGTCGAGCAGTAAAGCGTATTTGGAGCTAAAACTACTTTATGTATGATATAACCAAGGCAACCCTAACAGCCTTCTATAACCAGGTGCCCTCCAGATGTACTTCTAGAATTCCCAACCAAAAATTTGATGACACTGCCTGAAAATTCTGGGAATTGATGTTCAGCATATCTGAACAACCTCCATTTAAGGAAAACCACATTATAGGTTAAATATATTTTTACTTGTCACCACATCACACGTGAGTACTTGTAACTTGTAATCATTCAAAATTAGAATATTATTCTTTAGCTTGACCAGTATTTTATTCAAAATAACTATTTGACGTACAACAAACCAGCTCAAATACAGTTAATATTTCTAAATGAACAATATGCTTTCTGATTTATCTTGCTTTCCAACAAGTAATTTTAAAAATTAATAAATAGCATCCACTTATCCTTTATTAATATTACATCCTTTCTGTATTCATGACTGGGTTAACATAATGAGTTCCACAACAATCCATCCTCTGTGTAGCAAGAAGAAATGTATGGCTAGATTTCTCCCTCCCCCCACTTCTAGTTTAGGAGATTATTTCCATTTCTTTAGCAGACAAAAAAATCATAATAATTTCCATGTCTGACTATTTTTACATAATGTTTCAAATAATCAAGTAAGATTACTTACAGTCACAGGAGAAAGTTTACATCATGATGATTTGGATTATAGCAGTTGTCAGTTCTACCAAAAAGTTGAATTTAACATTTCATGTGTATATATTTCTAAAGCATAAATCTGATATTCATCCATTCATTCACTCATCCCAGTTGAACTAGATCCTAGCTCCATGCTTATTATATAAAATAAGTGCACCTCCTCTGGGTATAATTATTTCTTTAAATTTTACATCTTTTTTTAAAAAAATGCATATATCCAAAACAATAAATATTCATGCTTCCTTTGTTTATAATCAAGACTAAAATTCAACTTATGCTCCAATGAGATATTAAAGTATAATTGGGGGAAATGCATGAGAAAAGACAGATGAGTTTTCAGAAAATTAAGGGGGTAGCCACAATTACATAATTAATGCCCTGTCCCTTTATTTACAAGTATGTGTGCACAACATATAGTCGAAAACTGTAAATTGTCAACTCCAGATGAGTACTTGTTTGTTAAAAACAATTATCTGGTCTCTAAAAAAAAAATCTGCCAAATAACCATCACCCATCAAACTTGTCAAGCATGGAAAAACTCACACTTGGTATACACCCTGTTCAGCGTGCCTCTGCTTGTATATACCATTTCTAAGAACTTTTAGAACAGACTGATATGTTTTTCAAGCAGATTCAAAAGATGGCCATGCAAAAGAGTTAGATCTCATTGCATGCATAACTGTAATCTCATTTAACTAAAAGTTTATTGATCTCCAAAGAAAGTATTTTGGCAATCAGCTGAGCTTTTTTGTGGATAAACTAGCCTGCAGAGTTATTTTTAAAAGGACTTTAGATACTTGTTAGGCAAACTCACTGACCAGCAGTAGACTATTAGGTTAGCATGCATACTATATTATTGTGGCTCAGGGAGTGCATTTTATGTATTTAAACAAATAAACTGACCATGTTAAACATAAATCTGAAGTTACTTACGATTGTTCTATACAGATCAAGTCTAGTTGCACTTGAGATTTAGGTGAAAGAGTGAGATATAATTATAGTTTTGATTAAGTGGTATTGAGCTTAGCGGCAGACACAGAAGAATTGATTATTCCTTTAGCATTCTTGATTTTGCTATCTAATGAAACTATATTTGTGGTTTAAAAGGGCAATTGTTGGTCTGACTTCAATTCTTACTGAAAATGTTTCCCCAATCTTTCTACAATGTTGCACTTATGTTAGAATTTTATAGCCGTCGAGGTTACCAGCCTTTAATCCTGTGTGTTTCCTATGTTTTTGCCGTATAGTGGATTAATGGGGAAGCTAAACATTAGAAGCAAGCAGCCATCAGCAAATGCAAGATCATAATTAGTTTAGCTGACGAGGGCCTCTGATAGCGCTTACATCTGGATGGAAAAATTACCCTATAGGGAACTGGCTGATCACCAGGTCTTTTTAGTGATACATTGCGAAACACCCGATGAATCAAATGCCCTTTCTATGCCAAGAAAGTGTTCCATGCTCCAAGCCAAAATTATGTCTGCAAAAAGCTTTCCATTTGAAATGTATCAGAGTACAATTATAACCATTGTACTTTCTTGGCACCAGCATTCCTTCCCTACAGTATGGAGTAAAATTAAACGAATTACTTAAATTTGAGGAAACCTTGAAATTTTGATTTATAAGGTTAGTAATTTTTTAATTTAGAACAAAATCAGTTTAAGCTTTTTTGCTGAAATGGTTCACCTTCCACAGTTGTACAAAATGAAGAACTCTTAATAAATGTTTATACTGAAAAGGTATGCTTTCCTTAAAAGAGGGAGAAATAACCACATCATAATTATTAACAGTTATGTCTATAAAGTCAGCATGTAATGCTTTATTTTGCTGGGTTCTTCTGTGAAACCCTCTTCACTAGAATGAATGATATCTTTATAGGATAGAAGAAATCTAACATATTTCTCGGTTGTGAGATTAAGAAAGCTGTGGGATTCAGTCACATCCTCATTTATGTTCACTTTGCATTCCTAAAAGTATGCTTTACGCCATCTGGTGATGAGACAACATCATGTTGTTTTATCACCAAAGTTAGAGCTTTATATACACCTTCATAGTACTGAATTTGAGCCATGCTTTTCAGTGAGCTTTAGGAAATAAAAAGCAGCATATGTGATTTTTATAATTATGTTAGCCTGTAATTTAACACTTTGCGTCTTGTTAAAGAGATAGACTTTCTAAGAACAGAAATAAGGCTACATGAAAACTGAAATTAATTGTAAAGATTTTTATTTATGTTTTAGGTGTATTGTTAATGATCACACCATTAAAATAACTCAAAATTGGGAGGGGGGGAGATACCTAAGAGCAACTCTCAAAAAAATCTTAAAATTCAGCGCACCAAATCTATTCATCAAAAGGCACAAATTCAATAGTTTATTAAATTAAAACTTCAGAGGAAAACAAAAGTATTTGTGTTTTGCACACTTGATCCATTACTGCAGGGCAAACTGAGATGAAAATCAGCATTGTGTGCAGTGCAGTGTGATTTTATACTAGCAAGCTAAATAGAAAACTGTTGTGTACATTTGTCATATTTACAGATCACGTGACTAACCTTTGACTTCTTTTTTTTTCCTTTCTTTTTTCCATCCCCAATTTTAGAGACGTAGAGGCTCGGGTGTTTTTTGTGCCAATTGCCTGACCACAAAGACCTCACTCTGGCGAAAGAACGCAAATGGAGGATATGTCTGCAATGCGTGTGGTCTCTACCAGAAGCTTCATTCGGTAGGAAGAACTTGCTTGTTTTATATTGGAAAGGTTTTCAGCAACTCAGCTGAAGTTGGGCAGCTGTGGTTAATTTCCTAACTGCACATTTTCTTCAGTGTGGTCACTCCAGAATCAGATGTGATTCATTATGGAAGATGCTGATATGCCATAGAGAGGGGAGTCAGTGTTGGAGATGCCCAACGAGGCATGTATTTACTTTGAGACAAAATAAAGAATAAAAATGGAGCTATTTCCTTCTTTCACACAAGAAGTGCACAGAATTATGTTGAAAAAGAACATTTCTAGATCCCTTCCTTCTCATGACAGAGAAGCTGGTAGTGCAGCTTGAACTTATGACAACTTCAGTTCATAGTTTCAAAGATGCTTTTTCAAGAGGCAACTGGACTTTTGGGTTTTTCTTTGAAGACATTTCGCTTCTTATTCAAGAAGCTTCTTCAGCTCTCTTGGATAAGAAGTCTTCAAAAAAAAACAACAACCAGAAAGTCCAGTTGCCTCTTGAAAAAGCACCTTTGGGACAACCATGACCTGGATGACTGAGAATCTCCATTCAGGACATTCAGTTCCTAGCATCTCCAGATTGATTTGAAACCTAGAAGCAGCCAACCAGTCATATAGAAAGTACTAAGATTAAAAGGAAAAATATTCTAACTGTAATATAAGACAACTTCTTATGTTTCTAAGAGAAAGGAATCATACAAGGAACAAAATAAATATGCATGAATTGAAGACTAATTGTTTTCTCCCTCTATTCCCAGAAAACCCCCAAGTCTTGCTGAACTCCTTATCATGGTGGGTGGAGGGTTATGTATTTCCTTTTTTAAAAATAAAGCTTTATTGAGTTTTAACAAAACAAATAAAACATCTTATTCGAGTACAGCATCGTTCCGGGTTATCACATTTCCATACAGACACAATTTCATATGCATATTCACCTTATGTATTCAACTTTATATCTTATTACTCTTTTTCCAACTCCTCACTATTTCTCCCTTTACTTCTCTTAATTTTCTTTTATGATTATCTCATTTTCTTCTTAATCAATTGTATTTTTGTTACCTAAATTTCTGTATCTTTTCATTCATTATACTTATACTTTCGTCTGTCTTGTTTACAATTTCATATGTTCTCTTCCAACATTCTTAAGAAACAAAATTCCCCCTATGATTGCCAATCGAAGTGCAACATCTTTAAATCTTATTGTTATTTTCATATGAAATCTCATTAAATATTGAATTTGTGCATTCTAAAATTATAACATTCAAATTTCTAATATCTATTTG